AAGTTGATCATACATTGCTTACCCGATTTTCAACAGTTAATGGCAGTCGTTGCTGTTGTGACTTTTGTAATGATGACAGTACGATTGAGTAATATTGTGATATATCATCGTCTTTCGTCGTCGTCAAATTCAAGCCAGCACAATATACTGTTAGTGGTGAAATACACGCAAATTCAAAAGACCCGCCTCACATGCATAGTTCTCATAATTTCAGTCGCCTTTTTACAAATACACAGAAGTATGAAAATCTATTGTTGTCCATTTTCAACCGTGATTGACGGTGAAATAGAAATTCACACATACGTGCGAGTGATTGGAATAGAATATACAGATCATTCAGAATGATCGAACATGCATTATTGTTGATTAATCGTCAGCAGTATTTTGTCAGTTTAGTGAATTTTGTAGATCACTTATATGTCCTCAAATGAATCATCTTCAAAGCCGGTTGATAGATGGACTTACACGACGTATTTTGTTGTTTGATCCAGCATCAATTAATATTTTCATGATAAAAAGCATTAAAATAATGTATGAGTTGCTTCCTATTCCCAATATGTTCTGATGACATGTAGATATTGGTTGCTTCTTAACCAATTCTGGAAATCATTCCCAATACGTTCTGATGACATTGGGAATATAATAAGATCCTAAATTAGATTTAGAAATGTTGCAATATAAGCTATCTTATTTTGATTGGTTCAATTTTGAATTCTCACAGTTGGTTTTTGATAGTTGGATAGTTGTAGCTGAAGCTACTAGGCATACTGGCTGAGTGTGTATATAATACTCAGATCTATATCGATCAAGATTTAACAATTATTTTGGTGAACCTTTTTTTCGATATATTTCAGTTATGAATTCATAAAAAGTATGATTTCAACATGCAACCTCAATCACAAAACGCCAAGCTCAACGCCTAATTGGCGGAAATATACAATAAACCACATTTTTTTGTGGAAGTATCTAAACGTTACGCTTATGATTATGGTTGTAAATGTAAATGGTCAGCTGAACACTCTCATATACAGGGTGCTTCCGAAATCAAAGCAAATGATGGAATGGAGAATTGAAGATATAGTGACACAGTACTGCCGTGCTAAGCAGAACTTTCGTATCTACAAAAGAGATAAAACGGAGTAAATGCATCAAACAGTGAAATTTGATTGCTGTCGTTTATTTGAGTATCATTTATAGTCGGATCAGTATTTTTGTATGTCAAAACGTTCTTAAGTCGGTCAAACCGGATAACAGTTCAAAAAAATTATGTTTTTCAATATGAAGAAGCAAATGCGATGTTTTTGCTGAGAATTACATATTTCCCATACTGTGAGAAATTGAAACTCCGAGGCGAAAACCACGCATCTGCACGCGTCACATATGCAGATGCGTTGTTCTCGTTTAGTACTGTGTAGATAAGTGGATTTTGCTTAGCAGGAGTGCCTTATTTGGCTAGATACGGGTAACTGAAATGGCCAAAATCAGTGGCGTAGCGAGAGGTGTCGGGGCCCCGGTGCAACGAGGGTTGATGGGGCCCTAATTCACTGAGAAAATTCTCCAACCCTAGAGTTAAAGGTAGTTGAAGATCGAAAAACAAAGAACAGAATTGTTAAAAATGTATATCTCTTGTAGTGGCGAGTCGTTATGAGTTTGAAATTTGAGAAAGCTGATATGAGCAAAATTGCGTTTCAGGCCATTCTTTTCGAAATTTGAAGGTCAAGCTGCCTGTTTTAGAAGTTCAAAATGAGAATCGAATATATTTGTTTCTTGAGTATGAATCGAGTATACCCTCACCAGTTAATTTAATTTCCAATGAAAACAACTGAATGTACCTAGGTATTTTTCTGTTTTCTCGAATGAAGTCACGAAATGACAAAGTTTAAGAATTGTATTTGCAAATGTTGAAAAGCCATGGCAGCCACCTGATACCTCCGCTTGTTCTCTGCCATCTGAGTGAAGCTATTTGTCCATAGTTGAAACAACTAATGTATTTTGAATCTGACAGTTATTATCAATGAGTACCATTTTATAATTCAAGATTTTGGTAGCATGAAAATGACTCCATCAGAGCAACCAAATTAAAACAATCAAAAATTTAGGACACGTGTATAAGGACGCAAATTTTCATAGGTAAGTATATTCACCCTGTGACCGTTTTGATTTGCTTCCAACCAAGCTTTCAACTGACGATTATAATCTGGTCTCGCTGCTGGCAGCAATATTTCATATTGTAAAATCACAGTTAATTTCAACATTCATAGGCTCTCAGCAATATTGATTAAGTAGAGAATATACACTCACCGGCAAAAAAAAACCGGTCACCATAAAATTTCGCCCTGTAACTTTTTTAATTCTTGTCCGATTCTGGTGAAATTTCGACCAAACCGTATATTCATGTTTCGGAATATTTTCTTGAATATTAGGTCCCGAGGAAAGCTGATGGTTTGATCATTATATAGGGACAAACAAAAGTTACTCTTTTACCCTTAACTTCCTATTACCCTGTGGAAAGAGTGCGTGGTTAAACTTGGCTTCATTATGTTTAGGATTGAAATTTGATCCTTTATCGTCCTTTTTCAGCAAGATTCACGTCAATATCTCCTTTTAAAGAGAATATACAAGTGTTCGAAGAAAGTATGGAATTTTTTAATTTTTGTCAACAATAATTCAAAACCTCTAGAGTATCTTAGGGATGAACTTCAGAGGCTCATTCGCATTCGTCCGGCCATGTCAGAGACGCTTCAAGAGCTACAACTGAAGAATTTTAGTTATTCTCCAAGTTCACTTGAGAAATTTGATCAACTCGATGACAGGGCGGTTAAATGCTGTGATTCAAACTCGAGGAGAGCATACTGGTTATTGCCTACAGGTCTGCTTTTTGTTTGTTTTTTGTATTCAAGGTTTTTTTTAGGTAATTGCTATAAAAATGAGGTAGAAATTAGTAATATTGATTCCTCAAGTTGTTAATCAATAAGTTGATGTAGGATCTGATTATTGTTGAAAATAATTGAAAAATGCCACAATCTCTTAAAAACTCGTATATTCTCTTAAAAACGAGTTATTGACGTGAATCATCAACCATTGTGTTAGGAAGGGATCAAACTTCAATCCAGAGCATAATGAAGCCAAGTTCAATAACTCAATTTTGCCACATGGCGTTAAGAAGTAAAGGGTGAAATAGTCACTTCTGTATTTCCTAAACTAATATTTAGACCAACATTCCGGAATATGATTCTACGATTTGATCGAAATTTCACAAAAATCTGACAAGGATTAAAAAAGTTACAGGGTTCATGAATTAATTTGCACACCAATACTTTCTTGCATTATACCTGATGCTAATGCAGATTGGGATATAGGGGACCCTCCGGGGCCCCAATGCCCCGGGGCCCCGGTGCACCGCACCGAACTGCCCGTCCATAGCTACGCCACTGGCCAAAATTACTGATTTGTAGTATAAATTCCGGGTTTTTGCTTAATAAGGATGAAGTATTAGTTGCCGGACAATACCAATGCATCAAATATCTCAATTTCCGTGGATTTGTTGTTTACCTCCCCCTTCCCCGTAATATACTTATCGGCAGATCAAAACTCAAGAAAACTCTTTTCGATTGTTTTTGTTATGCCTCATTATTCAATTAATATAATAGAACACCCGGCAAAATTACAAAAATAATCGAAAGATAATACCGCGGTGCTTCGGACCTAGCACTGTTTTTTGACAAAAATGTTCTCAAATAATTACTGTCTGTAGGTTAATCGAGGAGGTGGTACATTCATTATTCCAGATTTTTTTTGGGGGCAAATCATCTGATTTGCCCTAACTACCCGTATATTGAAATAGTAGTATACAGTCTTATAGCAATACCACATGTCTAAAGACAATGCTCACCTACCGGCACATAACTACCACACTCAATAAAATTTCTGACTCAAAATATGTAGATCCAACATTCAGTTACCTCCTTATTGATATTTGAACCTCTCTCGAAACAAGTGTTACATACTTATCGTAATTAATTTATTTACATTAATTTATTCACAAACTCATCTTTGGTCTAATCCATGTTCTTTGTGTATCATAATTATTCACCATTACACTCTCTATATGTACTTATATATATACCCCAGACAGCACCAGATATTCCATGAATCTCCCTATCATATTCCTTTTGGAATATTGGAATATTCTAGAAATAATCTGGAATATTCCGGAATATCTGTGGAATATTCTCTAAATATGCGAATGGGAATTCCTCAGATAATCATAGAATATACCGAAAAGAATATTCTATGTTGAATGTTCCTGGAATATTCCAATAAACATATTCTAAAATAAAAAAAGTGACCCAAGTAGGGATCGAACTCGTGACCTCAAGACTATCAGAGCAACGCCTTGACCACTAGGCCAGTAATCGAATTGAATAATGTTATACATATCAAGTTCTTGTGAGAGCATTGTTCGAAATCGGATCATAAACACTTTTTGTTTCAAAATCCCCTTACATCTAATTGATGTTCGATACTCACATCTCTGAAATAATAAATGGTATTTATGTGTTGAGGAACATAGGAATATTCAGGGAATATTTCATGAATATACACCACAGAATATACAGTTGAGAATATTTCATGAATATACCGCACAGAATATTCAGTTGGGTATATTTCATGAATATACCGCACAGAATATTCAGTTGGGTATATTTCACGGATATACAACAGAGAATATTCGTTTGGGAATATTCCTGGAAGATTCATACCTGAATATTCCCTGAACATGTCCGACTATTCACTTTGGAATATTCCTTTTAGATGTTCCAGAGGCATGTATATATTCTAGGAATAATCGATGAATATTCGGAATATACTCCTCCTTTTTAGCATATTTAGAGAATATTCTATGAATATCCAGTGCTGTCTGGGACCTAGTGAATAAATATCATTATTACTATTATTATTATTATATACACTTTCAAACTCATATTTTTTCTTTACAGTATTAACTGACATCGATATTTCAACGTACGACGACAGTACCCTGGGTGCACCATCAATAACTTCTTATAGACTGAATGACGACGTTTTCTGTGTCCAGCCACCATCTTTGAGAACAACGAACTCTTTCAGGTCCTCTAGGGATTCCTCTAACTCAACATCCAAAAGGAATCCACCAGATAGTAATCATCAGTACTTCAAGTTCAGAGGTCAGCCCAAATTACTTTTACTCAATCAATCAAATTAATTCACTGATTTCTCCAAAAATTCTAAGAATATTTTTGAACACGTTATCACTTCATCCAAGGCAAAAATGGATAAAAGTTTGTACAGCACTGATATAAATGTTTCACAAGTCACTAACTTTCCTCACGTGACATTATATAGTAGCATAACAATGTTCGATGAATTTGTGATCATTAATTCAACTCATGTATGGTTCTTACTTTTTTCAGAACGTTCCTACAGTGATATTCATCGCGTTCGAAACTGACCATCAGGTATACTCAATAAGACACCAAGCTCATCACCTATATTTATGTGCTGTAAAATATTTTTTGTTTTACCTATAGTCTATTTGACTAGTCATTCCCCAAAGATCTTGATGCTAATGTTCTTATTGGCAGAAAACTCACCATTAGAAGCTATGTAGTTTGAATCTATCATCAGGCATCAATAATTGATAGTAATATAAGTATTCGATGTAGGTACCTAGGTATATATACCTATCGGTATCTGTATCTTATAAGTTACCTATTCGAAATATTATGTTTAAGATATTATGTTTAAGATTATGTTTACTGAAATATATGTATATGGTATCAACCATGTTAGTGAATGGTATGTACGAACTGATATGTGACAATCCTTGAATGTTTTTTAATTCGTGTTTGCAATATTGTAATAGTACAGTTATGTATTTTTCACATGTATTTATGATTAAATGGTTTATTACAAATACGTATTTCAATACTTGCACCTTGCACGCGTCTATATAGCTATACCCTACATTGAGATGTTTATAATTATTCCTCTGGTGTGCCCGCTCTACAATTGTTTCGTCAGACCAGCTCTCGATATGAACAATTGAATGCGAGTTCGGAACGTAGGGTTCTCATATTCGATAAGAGATGGCGTGAACGATGGACACTTTCTTAAAAAATTTCAAAATGCGTTTGGAATCTAATCATGAAGTTGAACTAGACTTTCAAGGATGTGTTTTCTTCCGGGGCCTGAAGAATCCCGTTGACGATGCACGGATTCAATAATAGCAGAAGCAAAAGAGACGGCGCACAAATAATCTGTGTGGAAACATCTTGATCTTGACATATCTGTCACTATTTTATGTACCAAAAAGTGAGTAAATAAACTATTATCACAGAATTTTCTTGAGTTGGGACTTCGTCTCGTTCATGAATTCACCATTGAAAGTCGAAAATATAACGCACCGATTCCATTGAAACAAAAAATTGTGAAAATGAAAATGTTTACTCAAATCAATGTGTGAATGAATGTAAATTTGGGTTTGAAACTTCGGAAATTTAGTAAAGTTCTCCCACGCCTCGCTATTTTTACATAGTAGGCGATATCGAGAGATTTCGAAACTCCTATCAATAGGAAGTGATAACACCATTGGACTTTCAATACATCTATCCCTATACACTGCTCTATTTCAAATGATCTTTGTTTGTCTTAGATCCTATAATAATGCATTGATAAAATGTCGATGGGCATCTGAAAGACGTCTCTAGGACCTCCACCTGTTACCATTTTCTAAATGCAAATGACGTCTCAGAACATCCCTTTTATGATGCCCGATGAATTTATTGAAATCTCAAGGAAAATGGATTGAACTTCATTTATTATATCTCATTCAACTGTTTGTTATGTCCAAAGTTGATATGATCCATTCAACATCCAATATTTTACATGGCCTTTTAGGTAGGTACTGCCAACAATACCAATGATATATACTTTCTGAGGGAGTTCTGAATGATGAACTTGAAGTCGAGAGGCAACCGCACGACGTCTCTAGGACGTCCACCTGTTACCATTTTATACAGGGTGTTTCGTAATATGAGGGACGCATTTGGCGAGGTAATAGGGCGTCTGAAGAAAATAAAAAAGTTTCCATAAATAAAAGTCGTAGAAGGCTTCGTTTGCGAGATACAGGGTGTTAAAGTTGATATGAATATAAAATACTCGATATTCTAGTGTATCTCTCGGTTCCTGAGAGGAACCGGTAGCATTATTTACTCAATATGACTTTCGATCAGTAGCACCGTTGAGGGGTACTGGAAGTGTGATTTTTCAGAAAAAACATGGGTAGCGATGAAACTTCGAAATTTTATTCGAAAATATGGAAGAGGGTGCAATTTTGTAGAAAAAAGCACCGAGTGTTGAAACTCGTAAAGATACACTGATTTCGAGAAAAACCGAATAACCATATTCAACTCCAAAATTTGACTCGTTTGATGTAGATGTCATAATCAATTCAAGACATCTGTTCAGATTACTCTATAACCATGATAGATATTATTCAGTAATTTTGGCACTATGCCAGTCACATAAAAGACTAAATTTTGCACGATAAGTCATACAGAGTGGACATGAAAATATTCTATAAATATTTGCAACTTAACGCCCTGTATCTCGCAAACGATACCTTGCCCGACTTATGTTTATGGGAACTTTTTTATTCTCTTGAGACGCTTCTTAATGATATAATATGTACTTGTTTCTGGATACTACAAAGATATCATATAGGCCATGAGTTTATACTTATTTTCTTTGTCAGTTGGCAGATTTTATTGTACAGGGATAGGCATATGTGTGGACTAAACCAGAAGTGTTTTTTTATCACAACTTTTCAAATTTTTTCTGTTCTAACTCAGTAGCCAATGTTGATTTTTGCAGTCAGCAGGTGTTTTTAAACGGATCACCCTATATGTAAAAAATTTTTCGGACTGCTATTCTTCTAACTTACATTTATATAAAGTTTGGCGTGTCTGTGATTTTAGTTACAAAATACCAAACTTTATATCAATGTAAGTTAGAGCAGTTGGAATAAGATATATTTATATACATTCGAAAAACCGCCAACTGTAACAAAAATCACTTCTTTTTTAGTCAGAGATTAGGTGTTTCTACAGATATTATATGCCCAGCCCTCTGCACTTTATAAGACTATATAGTAGATCAAGGATGTCCCTATATGTTCGCATATTGAAATATACCCAGGCTGTCCTCAAATCTTCTAATAATAGAGAAGTGTCAAAATAGGATATGAAATGTTTCAGTAGATCAATAGATCATTATGCAAATCAGGAGATCTACTGGAAATTCAGTAGATTTGGCAACCCTGCAACGGACGAAAAGTGTTTGCGGGCGAAAATTTAGTGTCTGCGGAGGAAACGTACTTGCCATCTTCGGAAATAGTCGGTTTTTCGTTCGGAAATTCGAACGTAAAATGTGATTTTTTTAACAGGTCGACGAAAAAATTATTTTCCATATGATTTATTGAAAGATTAATACAATTTGGACTAGAAAAACAAATGCTAGTTCGGATTGTAAAAAACACATTGTCGTGTCGAAACATACAAAATAATTTACATTGTCAGAAAATAGACTATACAGAATTTGTAGATGTTTCCCATGCAAGGTACAATGGGGTAAGTGAAAATTTGGGGCTGATTATCATTACATTCTTGTCTGTAAGGTGGCTCTGTCTATCTCATGATGAACCTACCCATATCCCCTGAATGCTCAGTGATATATCAAGCTACCAGCTACCAACTCAAGAATTAATTAAGGTTCGACTTCACCGATATTTGGAATAGTGTCCGATTTACGTCGAATACCGAGCTAGCACGTGTTCGTTGTTAAAAAATATATATATAATAAAAAAAAATTATATCAAAGATTTGAGCACTTATCTCGTTGTACATCTCCAGATTTCTCAAATAATCATCCATCAGAAAGCTGACATGATTGGAACGAGAATGACCCCTTATTATTATTATTTTTATCAGTTCATAGCGGAGCTATTGAAATTCGCGGTTCGACTTACCCGTTACCACCGTAGTATCGGGGGTAACGACTCACCCCGGTGTACCTTACACAAAAATTATATTATTCGAAAAGGAAATCACATGATCAATATACCTATATATATTTATTATGGATATATTCAACTTTGCTGAATGGAAACGTAAATAGACTTTCGAAAAAAATTTTGATATTTACAATAAACTTAGATGAAATATATTAAAGAGTACAATGCTAGGAACTTGTTGAAAAAAGTCAACTTACTAAATATAATTGTGTCTTTTTCAGTATAAATAAGCCTGAATGAGAGAGAGAGAAATGAATAAAATTATATCAACATTTTTCAGTCGAACTTAAATAATGATAAATATAATTATCTCACATATGACATAAGTTTATACAGGGTGTTTCGAAATTCGACCGACAACGCTTGACAGGTGATAGCCCTCGTGATTTCATAATCACTGAGATAGGGACATACGATCTTCAAGTGTTCAGTTCTCGAGATACAGGGCGTTGAAGTTGAGAAATTTAAATAGGTTTTTCGCTATATCTCAAGAAAAACTGAATTTGATGCATTCAAATTCGGTATATGGTTTCATCTTTCAATGGTTGATTTTTTGACCAGAAAGACATTCCGAGAATTTTACCCAGAGGTGCGCTACAGGGGGTTGTGATAACTTTTCCTCCCATATTTTCTACGCCACTGATGAAATTTCGATTATTTCAAATTTCTCGAATTGATTGTTCAATTATATTGAAAAACTGCATCACCTTCAACTAAGCTAAAATGAACAGTTATCGAGATATTTGACCCAAAATAGAAGTTTGCATTGTAATTTTTCATCTTCTTCAGTAGTAGAAGATTACAAAAATTTTTGTTTTCTCTTTATGAGTGAAATAACTGTTTCTGTTCAGCTACAGAATGAGATCTGAATAGTATGTAATCTACTCAACACCAGAAAAATATTTTTGCAATTTTCTACTACTGAAAATGATGAAATATTACTATGCAATCTTCTATTTTGGGTCGAATATCTCGAAAACTGTTTATTTCAGCTCAGTTGAAGGTGATGCATTTTCTGAACAAAATTGAACAATGAATTCGAGGAATTGGAAATAATCGAAATTCAATCAGTGGCGTAGAAAATATGGAAGGAAAAAATGCCACAACCCCCTGTAGTAGGGCACCACTGGACAAAATGTCCGGAATGGCTTCCAGGTCAAAAAATGGCCCATTCAAAGATGAAACCATATACCGAAGTTGAATGCATTATATTCAATTATTCTTGAGATATTGCGAAACAACTATTTTCATTTCTCAACTTCAACGCCCTGTATCTCGAGAACTGAACACTTGAAGACCGAATGTTCCTATCTCAATGATTATGAAATCACGAGGGCTATCACCTGTCAAACGTTGTCGGTCGAATTTCGAAACACCCTGTATAGCATCAATAACATGGATGAATTGATATAAAAAAAAAGTTATGTCATTATAATGAGCATTCGGAAATTCAAAATACGAATGGCGAAAGGACACAATAAAACGATAATATAAACTATTGTTGCCTACATACACGGTGGTCCAAAATTGTTTCCCGATACTCCAAAACAAAATCGGAAAAATAAATATCAGTTTTTCTATAATCACTGAAATATCAAATCAATATTGTTAACCAAAGGAGCCCTAAAAATTGGACTCCTTCGTCTCTCGCTCCTTTTTTTGTACATTGTACAACAGCATGCTTGAATTAATGAATAGCTGAAAAACACGATTCGTATGACGAAATAATTGTGAAAAACTATTTCATTCCTTTGTAACCAAATAAGAAGATTGAGGTTGTGTTTCAATGTTATACCTTCAGGGTCGGTCGTCTGACAGATCTTACACGCAACCCATCGTGATAGAAAAACATCAATCTGAATTGACATGGTACTCCAGTGAGGTTATAAAAATGAGAATTACAAACCTCAATCATACAGTCAATACCTCGATCATAAATCGATCTCAACTTCATTATGACTTATTACACTTTGTAAAATTGATATGTATCAGCAACTTCTTCGTAAATATACATTTTCGGAAATGAGTCAACAATATCGGCTATGACTCTATCACTTGCAATGCAACACCAGTCAGATGAACTCGACAAGCCCAGTCAGCATATTCTGATGTCGTCAAAGATATGTCGAGGAATTTTCTATCTGAACTCGTTCGTCTATAGAATGGCCAAAATAATTTCAATAACTGCCTTCTCAATTATTCTGGACCACCGCGCGTATATCAGGCCCATTGTTATTACCACATAGCATAATATGTTGTACACTACAGATCTCATCATCCCTACTAAAACTTATTCTAATCACATTTCTCCAAAAAGCAGTCTTTGAGATACCTGGATATGATATAAATATACAGGGTGTTCCTGTTGTCCCAGGGCTTTTAGTTCAGGAGACATCCAAGATTCCATGCATACCAACATTTGTGGAAATTTGAGTATGAATGTGAGTAAAAGCCCTCTTAAAAATAGTTACTCCAAATCAACCTTCTGTCAAAATAACCACTCTATGGTTTTTCTAGCTGCACTGCTCATATTATTTTCGGTTTATCCTGTCATCCCATCATTGTCAGTTTAGTTCAAGAGGTTCTGATTCTATATTTTAAACTTTTTGGTGTTCGTACTGACTCAAATATCCGATAGCCTAAAAGACCTGGGACAACCAGTATAATTTCAACCTCGTCTCTGGTACATGAACTTATTTTCTATCAACAAAACTAATTTCCAATGTAGTTTATCATGTTTGCTATGTAGCGTTCAACTTTGGACTCTCTCGAACATATATTTCTTAGTCGTAACATTTGAATACATTCACATATATACACAATGTTGGAGACATCAAAATTTGAATACTGTCAGATACATTCTTACTGGTAGGACTGTTGCCTGAACATCGCTGAAATTTCTTCCAGGGTCTTGTTCTTCGTTTCTGGCACTTTCTTGTAGATGAAGAGTAAAAACAAGCATTGCAAAACAATGAAGATGATGAATACATACGATTTCATTAATTCCTGAAAAAGAATGTTGACATCAGGTATAAGAAGTGTTTCAGTGTTAATGAAGATGGAATAGAAAAACTGATACAGAGACATCACAGACATCCCAGGTAGAACATCATATTGGCTAGAACTTGGATTCACATTAGCCCAATATTCGAATATTGAATATGGAATTACTAGCGATTGTTCCAATATCAAACCAATTTTTCATTTCGATATTCAATAATCAATCCAGTTCCAATGTTGTAATAACATAAAAAAATTTTGACCAGCCGATAATTATTTACCTATATCTATTTGATATTGGCGAAATATTAACGATTACAATATGTCAATTTTCATGATGGGCTGGTATTGTATTTTCAATATCGAATCAATCTCATAAAAAAAATTTGTATCAATATCAGCTTTATGATAATTAGTGAATATTGCATTTCATTGGCCCAATATTTAAAATTAATATTTCTTCAACATTCACCCTATATTGATTCATTATTCAATCAATATTAGTGTTCTATCTGAGATATACAGAGTCTTCTCGAAGGTAAGGCAACGGAGACACCAACCAGGATGGTGAACTTCAAGGAGTGTATAGAAGTAATAAAAATGGATGCACTTCTGGTCAAACCGGAAGGGTCATATTTGGTCTAAATACTAGCGAAATCATACACTCATGAAATCAAATCGATGTACTAAATTTGAAACATCCATACGAAATAGATATGCAATGAAGCTACAAGGGGGTTAAGTGTTTCCTGGAAACCGGGTATTTGTATAGGTACTTGAACTTATTCTTGTGATGTCACTTTATCATTGTATTGGGATGAATGCCTCGCTTTTTAAAACATCTGATATTAAATGAAAAAATAAACTCACAGCAAGTGGTAAGAAGGCGAGTCCCACCAAGAAATTGGCTGTCCAGTTGATACAGACTGCCAGAGAAGTGGCTGCTGGTCGAGCTGATTGGTTGAACAGTTCAGAAACCAAGAACCATGGGATGGAACCTGGACCAGTGGCGAACATGACAACATACACGAGGACGAATATAACGCAAAGGATGCCGACTGCTTTGCTTTGTTGCTGGAAAAAAATTAGGCAATTATTCACCTCAGTATAGAAATATATTTCGACTGAAAGGGTGAGAAATCAAAATTTCGCTATTATCTGTTACAGCCGTAGAAAAAATATAGTATAACTCGCACGGTATAATTTCGTGCTTGATGAACAATATACTATTTACGACGAATAGCCGCCCTGGATAAGCAAAGTGATATTTTATCCCCCAAACCCACAAAATGATACCACCAAGTAAAAATCTATATGGTTCTACTACAGTATATTGTACGATAAACTTATTTTGCAACTTGTATTGAGTCGAGTATTGAGTATTTCACTTGAAGAAGCTGGGAAGAAACATATCGTGTTATGAAGAAATCCTTTGATATCCCATCGTTTGTGAAGTTTTCTCCATGATGATGAGTATATTGCAGATTCAGTTAGTAGTTACCGATGAAAAACATAAATAGTGATGCTGATGTTAATATCGCTTAATTGATATGCCAACCCCGAACCAAATATTATAGACATCGTGAATCGATCTGTTTGCTTTACTTCCTACTAATTCGATTATCATTCAGTTATGACAGTTTCTCATCATCGAAGAACAATTATTTGCCGAAAGTAAGTTCCCTCTACTCACAGCGAATATCAATCCAATGGTCAGCAATGTGGTGTCTACAGCCATACCAGCGAAACCAACCATAAGCAAAGTTTTTCTTCCGGCTCTCTCCACTAGGAATAAAGACACAATGGTCATGAGGACATTGACCCCTCCCATGGCCATAGTTGCGAATTTAGATTGATCTTCATCCAAACCAGTCATTGTGAAAATTTTACTCGAGAAGAACATAACCTGGAAAATGTATCAAATATAAGACCGTCTACCCAACAAAACCAGTTTCATAAAAATGTTGAGCAACAATAAGTATACTTACTGCATTGATTCCTGAAAGTTGTTGGGCCACCATAACAGTCAAGGAAATTATTAGGGGAATCCTTAGGGCACTGTTCGTTACCAATTCTCTCATGGTCACTTTTGGTACCAACTTTACAGCTTCGTATTCAGATTTCATGACTTCCATCTCCTCTTGAACAGCAGGAGTACCTCTCAACCAAGAAAGTGCTTTTTGGGCCTGGCTCTCACTCCCTTTAGATAAAAGTAGGTATTTGGGGCTTTCTGGACAAAATGGTAGAGTAACAATCTGGAAACAAGAAAACGATGTATAGACATAATGAAAATCATGATTCTGTAAAAATATGACATTCCTTCGAAAAATTATGGAACTCACCTGGAAAATAGCCGGTACGATAGTCATGGCTAGCAGCGTTGGCCATAGTGCCTCTGTTCCCAAAATTCCGGACAATCCCAAAATCTGCGCTATCAGAATAGAAATAGTAATGACCAGTTGGTAGACAGTTCCAACTGCTCCTCTCAGATTCATCGGGGATATTTCTGCTAGGTACATGGGAGCTAAGCCAGCATTCAGACCTGAATTGACACCTATTATGAATCTGCCTAGGATCATCATCTCGTAAGAAGAGGCTGCCTTCGATAGGCATTGGCAAAGGACAGATGCGATAACTAAGATGTTGTTGAGAAGTAGTCCGCCTTTACGACCAAACCTGTCAGCGACAGTTCCTATAAATAAAATATCGTTCCAGGTTTATAAGCTTTATAGACAGGCTCGGTAATGTGTATCAGAGTGATCATCGACAGACATTTGCGGTGGAATTTTCATATCGATCAAATAACAAGAACATTGCGAAGTACTCTATACGCAGATTCAAATACCTGAGGAATATTTTGGACAACACCCAAATGAGAATTATTTTTATTATGCGCTTATTGAATCACGATTAACGTATGGAATCCTTGGATGGGGTGGAGTAGCGTCCAGCCATTTAAAAAAACCAGATGTATAACAAAAGAAATATCTAAGAATTCTTTTATACAAACCAAACAAATACGCGTCAAAATTATTGTTTGAAGAATCTGAAATGCTCGATCTGAGACAATTATTTTTCAATAAAATTGTGAACGAACAGTTCAAAAATCGGAAGTTCTTGAATTATGTAGATCACACCCATAATACAAGATCCAATGTAAACGAAACTCTCACCACAAGATATTCTTCAAAGACACTAATCCAACGTACATACGTCTACCTAGCAAATAGACTTTATAATTACTTGCCATTGGAAATTATAATAGCGCACATCATATTTTCCTTCAAAAAAAAAAGTCAAATCACACCTACTCTGTACAGACAGATTCACCATTCATAAATTAATTGACCCTATGCCCGGCCAGCTACTGTTTTCTTGACATTTATTGCTTTTTCCTTAGAATCTCTTCTCACATGTATAAATTTTTGTCAACCTTATATCATACCTAATTTTCATTTCATCATTCATTACCTTATACCACCAATGTCATTATTGATACTTTGATACTGTAACTCGATCTCGTTCTCATATATATTAACTTTTTCTAGTAATGTAATCATAGGCAATGTAGTTGTGGTTTAGTGTTTTTCTGCAATCCACGCCCTGGCTATATGCCTTAGTGGAGCTGTTGTTTATTCACATAACTATGTAACTGTACGTTTTGATGATGATGATGAATAAACATTATTATTATTATTATTATTATTATTATTATCATTATATGTATATTGACTATACCTATATACTTTCGTTGGCAATGGTTATCTTGGGAAAGATTCAAGAACTTCTTTACATAGAAGATCGAAGATGATGTGAAGTTGGTAATGAAGCAAACACTATACGTGACTATAAAATACTGTTCGAGAATTACAATTCGAATGGGATATCCATTATACATTTATTCCACATTTGGCTGTGGATTGAATGACGTTCACTCTCAGTAAATGTCCACTCTTTGTTGGATTACTCAACAGTAATGAATGTTGATAGTGACTGATCATATTTACCAGTTATAACTCCTCCAACCATTCCACCGATACAAAATATAGAAGTCATCAAAGAAAATATCAAGGTCACACTGTCCACATGGGGGGTTTCTTGAGTTCTGTTACCCATGGTGGCACTAATCCATCCCTCAATGATCTGAAAAAGTATAATAATTTCGAAATATTGATAGAAGTTTTGGATTTTCGACATTCACAATTCAATGAAATTGTATAGAAAAATGTTTTGCATATTTTTTTCTCAAAGCTGAATAGACAATTTTTTTTCAGAAAGTTGTTCGATGTTTCAGTCATAAGAGGTCATGCAATAGGCAAGGCCAGACAAACTTATCAAGGTAGCTGTTTCCTTATCCTTTTTGGTGATAGAGCATGTGTTTCATGAATACATTTATTTATGAACCAAGGTTATTTTTTTATAATTTTTCTACGAAGTCCCAACATGACACCATAGATTCTAGATTTCTGATTCAGATAACTGTGGATCAACAGTTATTGTAATACATCTTGACAACTCACGTTTTGCGGGTTATTGAGAACTCCGGTATTATAACCATGTTGGAAAGAGGAACCTAGAGCTGCTGCTGCAATTGCAAATGCCAATTTTCCATTGAAGCCCTAGAAGAAATATTTCAAAAAATTAGATACTCTTGTAGAATATATATTATAATGAAATTTTAGGAATATCATTGGTACGTAAGATGGTGTTCAGATCATTCCCAGCGAGCACAAACATCCTTGGGATGTTTTGGGATGTTTTGAAAATGTTGGTATGAAGATGATATTTTGAGACGTGATATGCACTGACCAAAGAGGTCTTTGAAGGATATTGAAGTATTGTTTTTGTTCTTCTGTGTCATTTCTTTGTTTGCCTACTGAGAGGTATACCTGGGATGTTTTGGGATGTTTTAGAAATGTAGGCATGAGGATGATTTTTTGAGGCGTAATATGCACTTCCCAAAGAGGTCTTGGATGGATATTGAAAGTATTGTTTTTGTTCTTTTGTGCCCTTTCTTTGTTTGCCCCACCACAACGTCACAATACGATGAATTCTGATTTGTTTTCGATTTTGTTCTTCTTGTTCGCAATTATTATGGCATTCGCGTTTGCAGCGTGTCACGCTTACATCACGCTGCTAACGAACAGAAAGGAATTTGGTGAAGGTCATTGTGTTAGAAGACTTATTTAGCTTGTAATAAAGACCATCAGATGCAAGATGTGTTGTTCGGTGCCTCAGTGTAATCAATATAATTATAGAAGTACGAATTCATCAATACACAGCTTCTCCGCAAAAATTGGGAAACCTATTTCCAATTATATGTCTGTGTTTAGTAAGCACTACTCAGAAACCGATTAAGAAGGTAATTTCATATCAAGAAAATATTTTTATGTTCAATGTATTTTTAATGCATTTTTTCATTCAAGGGAAATGGAATCCTAATGCAAAAGTTCATTTTGACAAAAGGCTTCAGAAAACTACCTCGAAAATGTTTTTTTTTACAGCGCTTTAATGTGCGCAAGACGCGTTGAAAATGTTCTGTTGTGTCCATGAAAAGGCTTTAAAAAGAACTAGGGAGAAGGTAGTTTTGTGACATATCAAGGACATCTCGATAATTGCCGCCTGTGGCGGACATTGGCTGTTCTCTCGGCTGTTCTATAATAGTTCTATTCATGTGTGAAGAGAACATCGCAGTGGAGGTTCAATGTCTCGAAATCTCGTACTTTTAACATCTCTGACATGTTTTTGTGCTCGCTGGGTATATATTATATTGAAATTTTTGGAATATTATTGGTACGTAAAATGCCTAAGATGGTGTTCAGATCATTAACATAATGATATGTAATACATTCGATAATAATTGATCAATTACCTATCTGTCTGTATTCACATTCAATAACAATAATATTCGATGGATGTAAAGTGTTGAAATTGAGATTATAATTACTCTCAATAATAACAATAAGCATTCAATGTTCTTGTTTGTTTGCCCATTTATGTAGCCAATAGTGTTAAAGCCTTTAACCATGACATTGAACTTGCCCTTGATGGTTGATAAAATGATAATAAGTCAAAGTGCATTGAGGGGCAGATAAAATGTGCAATTGCTCATTAACAGTTGCATATACATATATTGAAACAAAAACAATGCAATTACTTTTCTGTTTTTGGTCCGGGCAAAGTCTGAAGACGAAAATCATTAGAGGTATATGGTAAGTTTTTCATTATTTTGTCTATGAAGATGCAAATTCGTCCGGCAAATATTTATATCAAAATACATGAGGTCAGTAGATAATAACTGATAAAATATTAATATAAACAAATATGGTCAAGATTATACGTTATCATCTGGGAAATTCTGGAAAAAGTATTATCATATCATTTTGGAATAATAAATAACCTATAAGGTATAATTAAGTTGCTTCTACATGGTGATTTTGAAATAAGTAGATACATATTATATTATATTGAACACATAAATATGATACAGTCTAACAAACAGTTCAATAATATTAAATTCATTCATGAGTCTTTCAATTAACGAGAATTTTATTACTGAAATTTGGACAAGAAATGGAAAAAAATACACTTCCGCACGAAAATTGTATACGGAAGTGACGTTCGTCATAATTACTACAGTGTGAATCTTTGAGCTTTGCCCCAAATTTCATTATGATCTCAATGATTTTCTCAATGGTGTAATTCAATAGTACACTATCTCATAGTCAATAGAAAAATGAAAATGAAATGAATTTTGATAATTGATAAGGCTCCAATCTCCCTCCTTTGTACTATACAAACAGTACCGTAAAAATTAAACGCCATAGAGGGTGGGGGGGGGGGAGGGGTCCTAGTGATTCAACTGTTATTTATCACAGTTGGGCAAATATTTGCTCAGTATAATCCCGTCTGAGAAATTTTTTCAATCTAGAATTGTTATTGAATGCACAATGCTTCTGTGTGATTTCTCAACAGTTGCAAAAATAATAGTTATTTGTTTTACTAGACAGGAAAGTAGTAGATTGACTGCCGCGACTGATAGTTCATAGACGAGCGTAGCGAGGCTAGGAATTCAGCCAAGGCAGTCAATCTACTTTGCTGCTATGTGAAACATATTCTTTTTTTCTCCAAATGTAAAAAAAAACATCATTTTGTGTTCACCTAATGTCAGTGTTAATTTTAATTACTAATTACATTCAAATTACTTGGGCAATGCATAGCAGCAAACTTTTCCTGCCTAGGCAGAGAAAGTACTCCTTTTCTGCCTGTTAAGTATCAGAGAAAAGCCACTTTCCCTGCCGCTTGGAGAAATACATATACATTCATTTTTATTCGAACTCCACTTCAAATCATACAGGGTGTTTGGTTATCCGACGCATATCTGAATGGGAGTGATAGGTAAGAACATTTCGAACATATTCAACCTTATACAGTGTATGTCGAGACGAGCTTACACTATCTTTAAATGGAGAATCAGTCGGGAAAAATCCATGAAAATATGCATGTCTATATTTTAGAATACGCTCTCTTCATTTAAAATATTCTCGGCAATGCAGTGTTGCCACTTCTACTAGAAAGTAGTAGCAACATTGATATTTTAAATGGAACACACTGTATTTTATCTCATTCTCAGATTTTTCCTGAAGAGTTGATTTCATCGATGTATCACACTTAGGGTCTATCGAAAATGATTACAGAAAAATAGGGATTTTTCGACTTTAGGATTTTTTTGTGTCGAAACCGAGGTCGAAACTATCCATTATCGGTAAAAACGGCTCACACGTTCCTATCTCAACTTTTGATTCACTATTTACTGATATTTAATCGGAACAGATACAGGGTGGTTCAAGATTCTGAATTCTGATTACCCTGTATCTGTTCCGATTAAATATCAGTAAATGAGTAAAGTAGTAGATCAAACGTTGAGATAGAGATATGTAAACCGTTTTGGCCGATAATGACAAACAAATCCTAAAGTTGAGAAATCTCGATTTTGAACACCTTATATCTCTGTAATCATTTTCGATAGACCCCAAATGTGATGTATCGATGGAATTACCTCTTCAGGGAAGATATAAAAATGCAATAAAATACAGGGTATTCTATTTGAAATAACAAAGTTGTTGCTACTTTTTGATAGAAGCGGCAACACTGCATTGTTGAAAATGTTTTAAATGAAGATAGTGTTTCCTAAAATATAAGCATTCATATTTTCATGGATTTCTCCCGACTGATTCTTGATATAGAGATACTGTAAGCTCGTCATGACATACCCTGTATACTATTATTAAAAAGTGATACGAATTTCGAGATATCATCGTTCTGTCATTTTATCTGATTGTATCTTTTTTCCTAAAAAGTTGAATACTCAAGTATTTCATCGACATTGAAGACGTACCTAATGGGATCAAACTGATTAAAAAAGGTTTGGCTATAGTGAGAATTCAAAATACAATTTTTCTATCATCCAACTTCGAATTTTTAAGCGATGATTTCTCGAAAAGTATAACAGTATATAACACTTTAAACGAGATGAAACAAAATACAGAATATTTCCATGATATCAGATTTTTTCAATTTCTTTTAATTAACCAGAAATGCCATCCCGAAAATTGAACAAAAAGCCAGAAAAAAACCAGGTACGCCAGTTTGAAAAAAAATTAAATGAATGAACTCCGCGTGATTGTGACTTCCGCACGGAAATTTGAACAGAAGTGACATCAGAATCGCTACAGTGTAGAACTTTGGGCGAAATACACCAAATTTTATGATGATCCCTATTTTTTTTTATTGGTGCCATTTGATAGAGTACGTCGAGCTTCCTTATCAGCGTTTGAATTTTTGAAATATTTGCACTTATTTCAATGCCACCCTGTATAAATAGTTTGTATGGTGAAATATGTTCAAAATCACATTATCTATACCACCTCCTTCCAGATATACGTCGGTGAACCAAATCCTGTATATAAATGTACACGAGTAAATACATATTTCCGCGAGCATATTTCTATCGAGGTTTCCATTGATGAAATTTATTTTCCACCGAATTAGCAGAATGTATGATTTTTGTTGATGTCCTTATGCCATAAATAATTATTGTATATACAGGTGATTCAAAATTCGATGTTAATATTTCAGGATCATATTGTTGGGATCAAAACACATCAAAATAAGACGTTACTAAGAGATTTACTGTATAAGGTGGTAAAATTTAAAAGATTAATTATTGAAATTGTGACTCACATAACGAACCAAATCTTCTGAAAACTGGCATGCTCCTGTCTTTTTAGACACTTTATTACCTTCTTGATCCAAATATTATGATGATACTTTTATATTTGAAAAGAGAAACTCTGACTTCGAATAACATGATCTTATAGGCCATAAAAAATATAAGAATTCGGTCTCTTCCATTTTTTTCATATAGCTTACCGTTTGCCAGAAAGTTGTAATCACCATCGTTTTCGAACGTAATGAGAAACGCTTGCATACGGAGGTGATCGTATGTCGGAACGCATTTGAAACTGCTATTTGAGAGGCGTGCAGAGAACTGATGGAATACTTGCACTTGATCCGTTATTATGATTATAATGTCATATTTTTGTTCTCAACTTACAGT